GTAAAGAAGTTAGCAATAACAAAATATCATCACTCAACTGAAGGGGAAAAATGCCGAACTATTGAGATAAGCTTTGCAAAGATTGCAATCAGCAGTTACAAGTTGATGCCTCTCTTAAATCGCTAATATCACATTCTCTCTTCTTTGCACTCAATAACAATAACCACATTTGGGATTATCCGTCTTCATGAAATTCTAATTTCGAAACTATGATAAGATACAAATCGCATATGTCATAAGCATCATACATAAAATAAACAAATCCATCTCAATCATCAGTAATTGAAGAAACGCTGAAATTTTGTTGTCGAAGCTTACAATTAGTGTGAAGCATATGACGTGAATCAGTAGAAGTAGACACACAAACTAAAACTATTCAGTGCAAACACATCATTCAAACTTAGGTAAACAGAATAGTATAAGTTGGTTAAATGAACAGCGAATGCAGGAAAATAACGAGATGATCGATTTTCGACGAGTAAATGCTCACATTCTTCGTTCCATCTTTTAACGAATTGAAGTGACACTGAAAGTTCGGTGAGTATGACGAAGGGGAACGAAGAAGTTACATCAACAGCTCATAATGAGGCTAATCATTCGCAAAAAAATAAACCATAAGTGAGTGATTCAAGCAGTTATGACGCAGTGTTGACATCTTGAATTGGTAATCGAACTTAGGTAATTAGTGCATATGGATTACAACGTTTGTAACATTTCGAAAAAGCTTTCTTTGGGGTTAATTCCGAACAAACTAAATGATTTAGAAACTTAATTCCGAACAAACAAAAAATTAATGAATGAACGGACTTATTCGAGATTGTTGCGTGAATGAGCAATGTAGTAGATGAGTGGGACAAAGAAAGGAGGTTTTTGTTTGAAATATCGACGACGAACTCTGAGGGCGGAGCGATTAGTTGCATTGTTGCGGGAAAGGGGTGGATAATAGATCGAGGTGGATTTCATGAAGGAGGAAGAGTCGAGGGGACAGGAAAACGATAGCAAATCATAACGATAGTTCATTGAATTAGCACTGATGAAGAATGATGATAAGCATGCAATTGTACGAATGGATCTGTTAGTTTGTTTTGTATGTCTTCATCGTCGTATTGTACTAATATTGCCCGTATGTCTTTGTAGGACATAGCACTCACCCATACTCGAATAAAAGTTCCGTGAATCAGAAACACAAGTCAAGTCGACTGCACTTTACGATTGTCACTTTTTTGCATTTTTTTTTGCGTTTCTTTTTTGCGTTTCTTCTATCTTATCACGTATCCTGATAATTGCTTCAAACGTGATAAGCGCATGTAATTCAGCGTATATCGTTTCGAATAACTGATTTAGTTGTACGTTGAAAAACTGTGTGGCATTTCCTCTGAATAAAATGGCATTTCCATTTTTCGATGGTGTTCAATTTCAAAATTCAAAAGTAAGGTTGCGTTTGCATGGAGAAATGCTATCCGACGACTGCTAATGATAGTAGAATTTTGATTCGAAGCTAAATTGCCAGCAGCACGTTCGAACACAGTTTGTGAACATCTTATTGAAATGCAACTCAACCATCAGATTTGTCATCAATTACTTTGCATTGCACTTACATGATAGACGTTCGATTGATAGAATGTTAGTCGCAACTGAATTGTGTTGAACGTAAGATTAATCCCGAAGGAAACTCAGATTGTTACCAATTGACAAAGTTCATCTAACTTCATTGTCTGTTTACTTTTCGAATCATTTCTAGAAACACTTTCAATAAAATTTCGATGTGAATTTCAATAGGTATTCCAAGTTGCACGATGAGTTCGCATCGGTTCATTTGTTGAATGATGCGGTGTATGTAATCATTAATTCACTTGAATATTGTTCGAATAATTGCGTAGCAGTGATGGGCATTAAAAAAGTAGCTGGCTAGAAATGCCGCTGAAAAGCAACCGAAACATTTCGCTGATAATGCCGCCAACTGAAAAAAGTAGCAGCTGCTGCTTTTACTCGCAACTGAACCATTTCGAAGCCAACGAAAGTCTGGGAAAAGTCGTTTAAAATTTGGTAGAATCTTTTCGGAGTTTGTTGGAGATGTCGAATTTTATTTGAATGGAATTCGCTTTTCAAAAAATCGCAACAGTGATAATAAGCAAATGATGTCCATGCGAAGAGATGTTTCGTTGAGCCCCAATATAATAGAAATGAAAGCAGTACCGACGAGGCTAACAATAACTTTACTCAGCGATATTGGGAATTAATTACGTATCATTTTATACTTCTTCTCATGCGAAAGCAATTATGGGAGTGAGATGATTAGCGAGCTGTCGAAGGTTAGCGGAAGGAAAGAATTGGCGATGCCGAAAAAAAAGCTTCGCTAGCAACGGAATAGCAAATAAGGTGTTATTGTGTATTTATTTATTTAATGAGATTCATTTGTATTGTTTAGATTATCTATTCAGTGTGTTCCCTTCAGAAAACAATGACATTCACTGTTAGTTCTGATTTTTTGAATATTCACAAGCGATGTTTATCTCACGGTTAGCGACCAATGATATATTTCTTAGTGAATGAACTGAATCAGGAACTGCAAGTCGTTTTTATATGAATGAATCCTATTTCAGAGTAAAAGATTCAGTGCTAAATGATTCATAATCAAATTCAAATAATCACTCATNTAGGAATCTGATTGGAGCGTTTGAAATGATCGAAGATTGCAGAAACGGAAAAACTGAGAGTGATTCATTCATGCACATCACAAATGCAACAAAACGACGTGAATGCTGAATTCAGATAGCACAGCAATAAACTATTGATATTTCCATTGACACTCCAATTGTCGGTGTGTTCATTCATTAGTAGATCAGTAATATCGAAACAAAAAAAACAACGGAAATTGCGTTCAATAAATGTTTAACAAACGCCTTAATACGTCTGTCTTATCAATATTAGTAGCTATGACAATGCTGTATAAGTGGGTAAAAGCCCATTGAACGATCACTGGTCGTTGCTCAATCGGATGACTCAGTAACTTGAATAAAAATATTTAATGAAATGTGGAGAGAAAATTTAATGACTAATCAGGAAAGAAAGATTAACAATTGGATAATAGGTATACGCCGGATCATAGCCTGGCTCAGGCTCACAACATTGGTAATTGGTACGTCGCGGGTTCGATTCCCGTTCGCGGAGGAAAGTTTTGCTCGAAACCAAGTAGTGTGCCAATGATTAAAAATTGGTTCATCAAATCAATGGATGCTCTGAATACGGTTTAGTCTTCAGCTTAGATTCAGTGTTCTCAACACAACGCACAGCGACGTGTATTTCGACAGAAGTAAATGAATTCAAAAACGTTGATATGTTTCGCTTTCCTTACGATCTGAACTCGATGAAAATGTTGCGATATAGTCGATACAATTCAAAACTCTTCAGTGAAATTCCAAACTTCAATATCTGCTAACGACTTGCACATTAACAAGACTCTTGTGTGTATTCATGTACGGGCAGTATCTCAACCCTTCTCAGAATCGAAAGTGTTAGCAGACAAGTAGTTTGACAACGATATTGAACTGCAATGCAACATGAGAGTATTTATTGAACTAGAAAGCAAATGCGATCGATTTAACACATCGGAATGTCTTCAAATGTAATATCTCTTCCCCCCTTCTTCCACGCATTTAATTGAATGTCGTTGCGTGATAATACTCAAGTTAATAATGCCCATATGATAGATTTGCCCAATGTATTTTCGCGGTATTGGATATTCGAACGTCGCGTTACATTCCTGAAAATTCAAATTTTAAATAACTGGTAGAGATTCTATCATTAGCGATCTGTATATATATTTATCAGTTCACTTTCTAATAACCTGAGATGATTTCCTGAACAACGAATTAAAGTCACCTATAGATGATACTCCTAATGTTATTCCGACTACGCCATCTAAACGACACTTAGTAGTTGGTGAAAAGAAATCGTCTGACAAATCTATCGATTCCATTTTTTGATCAATAACCGTCATCTAAAAACTTACTTCTTTATGCGCACCATTGACGCAGTGATGAATAATGCGAAGATATGGCTCAATTGTCATAAGCTCCTTTTCGCGTCCTACCAGTTTGAATTTACCCGATCTGCCAGTTATCGTCGATGCCAAAACGTCGTCAACATCCGCTGAAAGTGTATGTGAAGTTTATATGGTTCCATTCATTTGCAATTATAAAAAATGCAACCGAAATTGCTGGACTGCTTCAATTTCGAAGAGCGGTTAGCAGTGCAATGGAGCGCAATGCAGATTTAGGGTCACTCGATGAGCATTTTGCAATCAAGTACTGTGATAGCATAGTCGCACATAACTCCATAAATAGAAATTCCAATCAACTTCTAAAAATTCAGAGTCATACGGAATGAAGAATCATACGGAATCGATCGTATTCTCGCAGTTCAACAGTGACACCTCGTTGTGCGTATTTATCACATCCAACCTGTCCATAAATTGTTATATTCTGTGAATGGCCAAGAAATGCATCCGCTCCACTGATAATAAGGCAAAATACCAACACAAAATTGAGTGAAATCGTATTTTCAATTGTCTGCATTGAACTAAAATCGATAAATATGCAAACTCACGGTATTATCGTTCAAAACAGACTATGGACCAATCGCTTAGCAAAACTCGACTTGTGATGCTGTGAGGCGTTGAAAAGTTATCGGCGATGGATTCGATGAAAATTCGTGAAAAAATCTGAACAGTCTAGGGATAGGTTTTGTCTTACCTCAAACGATGGGACAAAAATAATGAGTGCAGTCAGAACAAGAAAAAAAACAGGTCACAGAAAAACTAAGACGATGATGCTTCATAATGACATCCTTTACTCACATCCAGGCTGAGACTATCTAGTCGTCTACGTAACTCAAACAAAACAGCTATGATGAGGCCTCTTTTATGTTATGGTCTCTCTTTGCTACCCAATAAAACTGATGTTCGCTTGATTGGACCCCAATTAGTCTATGTCTTCCCCCCCCCCCACACNNNNCACACACACACAATCGAAAAAGGGGCTTTTCTGAAGGTCACATTTGCTGAGTTTCTATATTTGTCCATCTGAATTAGTATTTTGCAATAATATTGAAACTGTCTTATGTCGACAGTCATGCTATCAAATTCTATGCATATCAATCTACACTGAACACCTTGACATGAAAACAAGTTTTGATGGATGTCCACCCAAGCTAATTAAACAGTTTAACAGAGCTACTACAGGAGATACCGAATTTGTTCGATGAAATAAGTCGTTTTAATTGTGAGATTAAAATAAGATCACAATTTCTAAAGTAACCATTTAAATTCGTAATTAAAATTCTGCCAGTCGAACAAGCAGCCTTTGAGTATAATTCAAATATTTCTCGTCATCAAATAGCAGCAATCTGAATAACCAAAAATTATTGCTGAGTTTCTTTGATAATGAATAAATGTGATGCAGCGTTGCGACTGCATTTTATTGCTCTATTTATAAAGGGTGCTGATATTTGGAAATTCAAAACGAAAATGTTCTCTTTTGAGGTAAAATATCAACCAACTGCTTTCGTCTGTGATCAATTTCTCGTAACTTCGAGCTCTAACATTGAAAATGTGGAGTTAAAATAAGAGGTGCTTATGAAAACTTAAACAAAAACTCGAATAGCATTGATTATTCATCAGTCGTTTGAGTGTCAAGTGAGTGTCATTTCCGCAAATACCAAACACTGTACCCGATTTATTTGAAGGTGCAATAACTCGTTCAATTGATGATAAAACGAATTCGGAATTTATTCAGCTGTGCAGTTGCATTCAATGAATGAAATATTTCATAATCAGTGATTTTTGAATTCCGAAGCATCTAACGTTGCTTTTGTTCAGACTAATGTTGGGGCTTTGACAATGGAAGTGCAATCATGACAGTTATTGCGTGCATGACTCATGCGAACGATTATTGTTTTTGCGTGGTTATGAGAGCATTATTTAATAAAATATCAACATGCTCCAACAGTTATTTTGAATTGAACTTTTATTGGTTTAAACGAAATTGATGCACTCAAATTTTGTCGATTCATTATCAAAACAACTTTTGCATGTAAACATTTAGCACAAACAAACATTTAATAATTTCATTGTTAGGGATAAATTCATTTCATTTGCTCATTACAGTATGAAAGTGTTGTTGATATGTTATCTGCACATAAATGTACCAAATCAAAAACAAGTTGTTTGTTTGTGTCTCAGCAGCTCGCCTCAGAAGTCTTCACTTCAGGCTTTTCACCCTTTGGAGATTCGCCTTCAGGTTACTTCCGACCTCGTAGGGTTTGCCTCAAAATCTGATTTTTGCAGAGATTTCGCTTTCTGAGAAATTCTGCGTACGTTCCCCTCAAAAAAATTGGACTGTCATCCATCATCTCATGGAAATGTTTATTATATATATATTGATCATTGCAATTGTTTATGTCGTTACGCTGCCTTCATCAATGTTTGGTTACAATTAAGCATTCATTTGTTCAAGTAGGTATTGGATGACTGGTTGTGTAAGCACATTTTTGAATTATGATAGTTTCTTGATGAAAAATAAATAAATTATTCGTCGACGCTTTTCGAGCACAAACTAGAGTCAAAGGCACTTATCAAGCTGATGTTTAATGG